ATTACTACGACTACGACTACGACTGCGACTGCGCCTGCGACTGCGACCACGACTACGACGACGACTACTGCTACAACTAAGCTACTACTACTACTACTACTACTACTACTACTTCTACTTCTACTTCTACTTCTACTACTACGACTACTACTACTACTACTTCTTCTTCTTCTACTACTACTGCTACTACTACTACTACTACTACTACTACCACTCCTTCTGCGACTACTGCTACGACGACGACGACGACGAGTACTACTGCTACTTCTTTCTTCTTCTTCTACTACTACGTCGTCCACTGCTGCTTGTCGTTTCTCTGAAGAGACGCGGCACGAATTGAAAGAATGATCTCAGCCGAGGAAATCTATCCTCAGTCAGCGCGTGAACGAATCTTCAACATTGCAGTGATTCTCTTCGGGCGGCTTGGAAGCCGTCGGGATCTGTCTCCGAAGCCTCCTGAAACCTGCCGCCTCAAGCCTGAAACCCACAAACTCAACATGCCCTGACATGGTTGCCCCAGACCAAAGGCCGCTAAACCCATTCCCGGCAAAGAAAGCCCTAAGAACCCGGTCTTGGAGGCTCTGCGTCCCTGCCCTTCCTAGACTTCGACCCCAAAAAGCCCCAAAAGCACTACAGAACCCCTCTCTGAGACTCTACCCCTAAATCCGAAAGCCTTAAGCCCTACAACCTCAATCCCAGAACTTCAACTCAAAACCCTAAACCCTTTAACCCCATAAACCCCCTTAGCCCTAACGCCTTTGTAAATTTCCTCCTGAACTTTGTGTCTTGTCTTCCTGCATCAGGGTTTAGGGTTTAGGGTGTCCGAGATCCCTAAACCCTAAACCCTAAACCCAAAACTCAGAAAAGCCGAGGCTTTGTGTCTTTTCTTCCTTCATCAGCTCCATGGCACAACAGCTCGCGGCTTTGCAGCAGCTCTCCAAGGCGGACCGCTCCTCGCCACAGACTTCGTCGTATTCTACTGGAAAAAGGTTTAGGGTTTAGGGTTATGTTTAGGGTTTAGGGTTATCTTTAGGGTTTAGGCTTAGGTTATGTTTAGGGTTTAGGGTTATACAGTAATGATTAGGTTTCATCAGCGATAACAACAGTTGCAAGCATACTAACACTAATATCAAGCTAGCAAAAGAAACAGGACCGAATACTATCACTGGACAACACTTAGACTGCTGGCACATGCTTCCGGAACTACACTAGCGTAAATTCATGCCGCCTCTCTGCAGCCAAGTTGCATCCTCCGTATGTCGAACTTGCGTTGTGGGCATGTAAGAATAAGAACAGGAAACTAATGATTACTGTACTGCCCACGATGAGTAGTAACAATCATAATAGACTGAGAGGAAGGTAGATAGTGGAAATCCCGATAAGCGTCAGCATCCTCAATCTCACCTAAGACTGCATTTAGTGGGATTTAGGGCGCAGCTCGCCAATGAGTCTGCTGCACCCAGAGAAGATTCGAGCTCGAAGAGCTACCGAGGCCACAAGATGCAAGTACTTCGACGGTTCATCTCTGCCCCTTGGAATTCCTTCTGTCGCCAGGGTTTTGATGTCTTAATTGGGGCAGAGCTTCGTCCCTAGACCTGGAGCTCTGAACTAGTTGAAAGCCCCAGCAGCTGTAGACCTCCATTCGCGCCTGCTAAGCCGGCTGAGGTCGCGCGCACTCTTCAGACAGAGGTAGAGATAGGCAGAAAAAGAGAGCGGGAGAGCGAGAGGGCGCGGGGAATTGGATATCTGTCCTGACCTGCTGGCCTAAGAGAGAGATAGAGAGACAGACTGTGTGTGGTTGCTCTGTACAAGCAGTGGAAGCTGCGGATCCGAGTTTGCTGCAACATCCTGCCACCGAGGAGAACAAGATGAGCGTCGCCCTGGCAACTACCATCGTGGACTTTGTCCGGTACAGGGCTGAGCAGAAGCAGTGTTAAAGGTTTGGGTCATCACCTTAAGCCCTACACCCCTAAACCGAGTCAGCATGGGGAGCAGAAATCGATTAGCAGCATGTTGGTTCGCCTAAGCCAACCGCAGCCCTCGTGCTTGAGCTTCAAGGCTCCTCGTGGGTTTCCCATGCCCTCAAACCCTGAACCCTAAACCCAAAAGCCCCTAAGCCCTCAACCCTAAACCCAAGAGCCCCTAAGCCCTAAACCTGAACCCGACAATCGACATGAGGCAAAGGAAAAGTCCTCTGGCCCAGCGCCCGCTGAAGGCTTGGCACTGCTTGCTTGAATTCCGGTCTCGGCGAATTCAGTGGGGGGGCCTCGGTACCTTTGTTGATGCGAATGTATCCCTTATACCAACAAAGTGCCTAAGCTGCCAGCAAGAGGATCATAATGCAGAGCAGCAGAGCAGCTCAAATGTTGGGGCTGGGTTCATGACGTCGGGCAGGTGGAGTGAGTATCGGCGTATCGGGACCTTGTTGTGCAGGAACGTGCAGTTGCAGCAGTGAGTGGGTTCAATTTCGGTCAGGTCAGCGACATCGAGATCTTCGCGACTTTCCCATCTGTGCTCCAGCAAAACTGCAATGATTTTGGTGTTCTTTATTATTTATTAAAGCTAAAGAAAAGAATATATATATATATACATATATATATATATATACCGTACCCCAAAACCCTATTGTATTCAGCCAGGCCCCTACATTACAGTGGCTAGTGGCTTGAGCGAACCAGGGGGTTCCGTTGCGGCCGGTTCACATGTTACTTCACGTGTTGGCAGCGCAGCTCAGGTGCTGCTGCAGAAGATTCGAACGGAAGCCCATTACTTCGCGCCGTGGTGAGATTCGTTGCTAGAATAGAAGACCTTTCTGCAGGAGAGTGCTCTTTCAAGTGTGTGATGATTCCAACCCAGAACAGACTACAAGTCTGGCACTTACGCTTCCAGGTGCTGCAGAAGCACAGCCTTTTCCAGTGCGTCTACAACAACGACCGGGATACCTTCTCTCGTGTATGCAGCGACGTATGCATTGTGTACGTCAGGGTGGCAATATTCCTTCGGACCTTTACCCCTGAAACCTTCCCTTGCAAGAGCAGGTTGGTACTAGAAAGCCCTTCATTCAGAAATTGCCGGCTTCCTGCAACGCCGATGCGGTGCCTAGGGTAGATTGTTCCGTATTGGTCCCCAAGTTACAATCGTTGCCGTCGAGTCGCTTGAACTGATGGGCCCTGCTGCAGCTGTGAAACCAAGCCAGGCCTTAAACCCTAAGCCCAAGGCAACACATGCATAGTGGAGCAGTCGGTGGACAGGGGCCATGACGTGTTCAAGGTTGGCGAGAAAGGCGGCGCGGGTTCCTGACGGGGCTTGAAGCTGCAGTTGGGCTTGCAGATCTTTTTAATCTGCCATAATTTACTACGACATGCTGCCTGCGGCTGTGTATGCAACTTGGGTGCTCGAGCCTGATAAGCTGCGTGGCAAGAGTCCGGCCTCTGAGCGCACCGAAGCTGATGGGAACAATCATTCCTTATTTTATAGTATAATAGTTATACTATTATATTCTCCTATAGCATATTAGGTTTTATATTCTTATATAGCAACTGCTCTCCTGTAGGAGCTGCCATGTACGTCGTCAACCACGGCAAGCTGGCATACGCACTCGGCATGGACGATTTGTTCGACCCGACAGATTCGCAGGAGTTGCTTTGACAGGGTCTTCTCCATGAGGTCTAATGAGTCCTTCAAACCATTTGGGCATCGGCGTATGCCGTTCTGCCGCAATCACTGCAGGCATTGGTACCATTGAAATAGCCATTTGTTGAATTCGAAACCTGCTCATCAAATGCTTGGAACAGGAGTGGCTGAACTTGAAAGAGAACAACTTGGCCAGCATCATCTCAAGCGGAACAGTGGTGTCCGAGGTGCTGTTTCGCTTGATTTTCTCAAATTTGAAGACACCTGGAACCCTAAACCCTAAACTAAACCAACAAACACTTGTATTCAGGGCTTCTGGTCATTCTGGCGAGCTGTGTGTTGCGGCTTGAGACTGCAGGCCACGGCTTGAGGTGTATTCCTGGTTTCGCATGCTACCACAACTAGTACACTGCCGCAGCTGCTCCCGCTACTACCGCTACTGCTATTGCTATTATTGCTACTACTGCTACGACAACAACAACAACAACTACTACTACTACTACTAGTACTACCACTACTACCACTACCACTACTACCACTACTACTACTACTACTACTACTACTACTACGACTACCACTACCACTACTACCAGTACTACTAC